AATATAAAACTCACTGTGCATATCCAGTAACGCCGGAATGTGAAATCAACGCACGATTCGTGCAATAAGTAACGCAGAATTGTGCAATAAATGGCGGATACCTGACAGGATATCCAACGCTGTAAGAAAACTGGCCAATACAGTATATTTTTTATTTAACCGAACTGAAAAACATCAATAACTGCATACGGTTGCGAAGACATAACTCTACATTATTTATTTAATTCATTTTTCTTTTATATAAGGATCAAAAGATATTTTACTTAGAAACTTTAATGTCCAAAGCTTGTAAAAGCATAACTTTTTTGTCCTCTGCTAAAATCAAATAAATTATAACCCTTAAGGTAACGATTTACCCTACTGTGAGGGTTTCTTATTATATGTTTATTTGTATGGGAAAATCACATGAATCTACCGTAAGAGTTTATGCTAGGCATTACTATAGACGTTTACAAAACTAACAGGACTAATGACCGTAAAAAAGGCCACCAGTACAGATCACATCTATAAAGAGTGACCATTTGTTCACTCAGGTAGTTCAATTGATAGTTATATTTCAGACTTTGAATGAACTGTTCCAAGTTCACAGCTGAGCAAATCCATTTCATAAATTTACCAGGTAAAAGGTCACATAGACTAAAGATAGGTTGAATATATTTTGGTTTCTTAACTCAATGTACATGTATATGCGACCTACTAGAGATGTGTTTGTGGAAGATTTATCTATCCATGCCATGAAGGTCTGTCTAAAAGTGGACTTCTTCATGTCAAATAATTAATAAAGAGTGCGAACAATGAAAAGTTCTATTATTAACAAAGCCCATTTTCATAACTACCATCTCAATAGATATTGAGGAATTGCTACCCCGTTGTTTCTTTGAGTAAGAAATTGTTCATGCATTGCTTCGAACTCACTTCAACAAAGACTTATATTACGAACCTTATAGCTCTGTTGTTTCAGAGACTGATTCGAAACTGTGTCTTTTTTCTACGCAATCAAACTAAAGAATAAATTCTGTATAAAATGAATTTAAGTCCACCCCCCCCCCCCACCGACAAAATATATTTGAAAAGTGCTGATACTCGCCGATTAATGGCGTTAAACCTGTGTAACAGTTCAGTACCATATATGAAAAAATCACATTTTCCGGCGTTACCGCGAAGCACTATTCACGTACATCGGCGTTACCTCATAAAAACGACTTGAATCCCATTTTATCAGCTTATTTCAATTTTCTATATCACCAGAAGTTTAGTAAATGTCACTTGCCTACCGAAAATCGAAATTATACGGTATAATATGCATTGTTGTACTTATAAGAGTCGACAAAAAGCCAAAATCTCGCTCAAAACGGTAGTCAAGTCATCATTTTCACGAATGATCTTGAAAAGTAAACAATTTCGTGGAAATAATCTTGATGAGGGATAAAGAGTAATGTCTTTGCAGCCGTATGCAGCTAATGATTTTTTTCAGTTCTGCGTTACTTATTGCACGAATCGTGCGTTATTTTCACATTCAGGCGTTACTGGATATACACGGTGAAACTATAGAAAGTATTTACAGGGCCGGTAATCTTTAGGAAGTGTAAGGTGTATGTAAATTGCATTCGCACGGAATTTTTGTGCACTTCAGTCGGACAGATTTGGCTTTTCATTAACAAACAATATTTCTGCGTGTAAATAGAGGTCAAACGAGTTCAATACAGCAATGGAACATCTGAACATGTATTGCACACCGTACAATCAAATCGGCAAACAGCAGTTTAAGCGTTGACAGCTGTACCGGTATATACATGTCGGCGCAGGAAACACAATTGACGGACGGTAAGTATTCATCTATTTTTAACATATCCCAACTGTGTTTGAGTAAATCAATGTTATGGATCCATAGTCAACATCCGAAGGAGCATGCTAACAAATTTCTGGCCCTTCGCAAGTTTTACTTCACGTGAATTTTGACTGAAAATAACCTCACTATCTGTTGAGATGCGGCTTTTTTTAAGTCACAAAACCTTATATTTTCTTATGATAATAAATCCTTTTATCATACGATTCGTAAACGTCAACATTTCGTCATTTAATATTCCAAACCATACCTTCAAAACTGCTTTTCTGTTAAAGTGATAGGGTATTTAAGTTTGAGTGTCATCACAATTTTAGTAACGTCATCAGCCGTTCGCCTCTTTAATGAAAACATCGACAGCCATTCATCAGCAGGAATTAATAACGCTGAAAGCCATTCTAGGAAACAATTTTCAGCGCTTTTGTGCTACAGTAACTAAGAAACAGTTAAACTTGTTTTGTTCATCTAAAATATTACTTGATTCATGATATTCGATCATTTATTATGACCATCTGATCATGCAGTATGTTTTTTCGATAATTTAGTATGACCTTCTGATCATGCAGTATGGCTTTTCGATCATTTATTATGACCATCTGATCATGCAGTATGGTTTTTCGATCATTTATTATGACCATCTGATCATGCAGTATGGTTTTCCGATTATTTAGTATGACCATGTGATCACGCAGTATGGCTTTTCGATAATTTAGTATGACTATCTGATCATGCAGTATGGTTTTTCGATCATTTATTATGACCATCTGCTCATGCAGTATGGTTTTTCGATCATTTATTATGACCATGTGATTATGCAGTATGGTTTTTCGATCATTCATTATGACCATCTAATCATGCAGTATGGTTTTTCGATTATTTACTATGACCATGTGATCATGCAGTATGGTTTTCGATTATTTAGTATGACCATCTGATCATGCAGTATGGTTTTGCACTCATTCAGTGTGACCAACATATCATACAGTATAACATTGACCTGCGATCGTACAAAATAACCTTTTGATCATGTGGTACCAATTACTTTATGATCATCAATTATAACCATGTCTTTAAATAGTGTGAATTTGCTATCATCCGTTAAGAACATGAGATCATGCAATATGACTTTGCTATCATTCCGTGGGAGCTTGTAATCCTACAGTATTGCATTGGGATCATTCAATGACAACTCTACCTATCGATAGTTTAAATCTCGGTTAGCTACAGACAGTTACATAGTCCATTATTTGTATACGTAAATAAGAAAACATTGTCTTTCAATTTGAAGAAAATGGAAATAAAAATGTTTTGCAACAAAGCCAGAAATTTAGAAATGGTCTTGAAGTGTAAAGCTGATGTTTGTGGATGTTTTTATATGCATTTGTATTTTTATTGACGAATCGCAAAATAAATCTTTGTATTCGGCAGTAAATCATGCGTCTTATTCAAAATCCGCACGTTCGTCCGTCTGTCACACTTTCGTATTTTTTCATACATCGAAAGATTTTGTAAATACTTGCCAGAAATAGTCAGTATAATAAGACAATGTGTCATGCACAACACCTGCATCCCTACCTCCAAGTTCAAGGTCACACTTAGAGGTAAACATTAACATTGTCTGTTTTAGTGTATATTTTTATTTTTTGTCCGATCAAGAACTTCTTCGGGATTTCAAAATAACCAGGCACAAATAGTCACAAAAAGAAGACGATATGTCAAGTACAACACTTGCACATCTACCTCCAAGGTCAAGGTCACACTTAGAGGTCAAAGATTTACATAGTCTGTTATAGAGTATATTTTGTGTCAGATCTTTTTCATATTCAAGGGATTTTGAAAATACTTGGCACAAATAGTTACAATAATAAGACGATGCATAACACGTGCACCCCTACCTCGAAGGTCAAGGTCACAGTTAGATCCGTTCGAACGAGATCCGTTCCTCAATCTTTTGAAAAAGAAAAAATTTATGCTTCGTATAAAAATTCCCCGAGGCGGGGGATGTTGGTAACTCTGCTATAAATTCTTGTTATTATTATTATTATTATTTTCATTATTATTATTATTATTATTATTATTATTATTTGTGAATGCAGACAGAACTTGTACCAAGCATTTCTCTGTTTATCTTTAACATAGGTATATAACACTAGTATCATTTCCTTTAAACCTTTCCCTCCTGAGCATATTGAGAAAAATGGCCGTTTCATTAAAAAGCCTCCTGTTACAAGTTCAAACTGCTATGAAACTATGAAAAACTATGAAAAATGCTTCAATACTAATCAAACTTGGCACAAATGTTGACTGGACCATTGCCTTTGTAACGACATGCTCAGTGTTATATTTCACGTTACCATGGCAACGAGGGGACATCTCAAAATTACCCCCCAAAAAAAAACAACAACACTATTTTGCGTTGATTTTTTCCATCAAAATTTTTCAAAGTGCTGCAACTTCTCAATGGATTGAGTCAAAGGCTTTTCAGCGTTGGTTACACATAACCTTATGATCGACCTTGTGTTACTTTTAGCCTCTCACAAGTCCAAAATTTTCTTGGCGATGAGGGTGACTGCCGCTCCCCTTCAACCCCCCCCCCTCTTAAACAGAATAGGGCTCATCCCCCTTCTAGCAACCCCCGATGTACCTTTTTATAATGGGCGGCGCCGAAAAAAGTGATCACGTTAACAGCGTTTGGGGCCTAAAATAGGGTAATTATTCAATGTTTGAGGCCTCAACAAGGGGGGTCGAAAAGCCCTAAAAACACGTCTATATGAAGTTAAGGGTTAACAAAAGAGATGAAAACCCTTGGAATTACCCAAAATCAAGTTTTCCATGTTAACATGTAGCTTTAACATAATTTTGTAGAAAGTGTTGTTTTGTAGCATTCTTATTTTTTTTTTAAATAGCAAAAAAATGATGAAAAACCTTGAAATTACCCAAAATATAGTTTTTTCATGATAACGTGTGGCCTTTCACCTTATTTTGGTGAAAAATTGTTGTTTTGTAGCATTTTTTAATTTTTCTAATTAAATGATCACTTAACAGTAAAGTTTTGTTTACCAAATTAAAAAAAAAAACACAAAAAAATAACAACAACAAAAAAACAACAAACAAAAAAAAAAAAAAAAAAAAAAAAAAAAAAAAACGCGAATATGTAGATGTTTTATTGAATGGAAGATTTACATCCTAAAATACCACCTTCAATAGCTTCTTTGATAAGGTCTTTCTTCGAACTATCATCACATGACGTGAATTGCACCCAGGAATCAACGAGGGCATTACATGCAATCTTGCCATCAACAGGGTTGTAATCCTCGAAGAATTTTTTATTTAAAGCATTGTTGTTGTGACTACATGCCTTCATCATGTTTACGAACTCCTCCTCGGAAATAGAACCTTCTCCACTGACATCGACAAGATTAAAGAACGCAGTATACGCTTTTCTCACTTCCTCAACAAATTTTTGTTTGTTTGTCGTGTAATCCTGGATGTTCATTGCAACAAAAGTTTGCTCGTTAATCGGTTCTTTTCCTCGGAACACTATATCGTCCCATATTTTGTCAAGGTTTACTTGCAATTGCTTACGCCTGTCATCATCTAAATGACTCAATGTAGCCAAGGTGTCCCTGCAAATAAATCATTCAATTATTTATAAAAAGAAGTGGAGGTTTAAAAAAGCAAATGGTTTACCAGAGGTAAAAGTAATTTAAAATAAGCTCAAAATTATACCCTAATTACAACTTAAAACGCTGAATGCCACTGAGAGAATTGAAGTATATTATAAATAAATCAGTAAATTTACTCTTCTTGTTTGACGTCGGCTCTAGAGATCGTTCCCTTACGGTTTATATCAATAGATCGGAACCAAAGTTTCCATTTGTTGATTATATAATCGTTAGCCATTTTGTCTGAAAATATAACAAACAATTTGTTTTTAATCTCTATTTTGTTAACCTTTAATATGTCTATATTGAATTATTTCATTTATTGTTTTTAATCGATTAATATAAAGTCAGAAATGTTTTGTTTTTTTCCGAAAATATTTTTTTTTCTTTAAAGGAACTGTAAATATACATAATTTATCATATATTCGAGTAAAGGTTTTGTTTATCATACAGGCTAATCATGTATGCTTGATGATGAAGTAAAGGTATAAATAAATAATGAAATACAAAAAAAATGCAATTCTATTATTTATCTTATATCACATACACTGCCTCACCAGTCTTTTTAAATAATAGGGTGTATTTAATCATGGCTGGCTTTCGAATCTGAAAAGGCCTGAAGTGGGCGGGACGGTGGCGGTTGTCACGCGCTTAAACTGAACAGGTCCAATGCCGACTATAAGAGTGGTTAAACACTTTGCGTCAGATATGGCCGGTGATTCATATTTGATTATCTTTGTACGATCGACGATATCGGTGATTAAGAGCTTGCAGGTGTTAAATACGTTGTCTCTAGGTTCACTCCATAATTTGGCTTAAAAAACTACCGATCAATCACCGATGGCTCTGTGACATATATATGATGCACAGCTTTATTTGCTTGAGAGGCAAGCGATTTTCTAGCACTAAGAAAATACCCGAGGACGAAAATACAACTCCCAAATATTTATACTCTTTAACAGTTTCAAGGGTTTTATCATCAATAGTGAAGAGGAAATTATCATGTTTGTTCGAGCTTAAAACCATAACCTTTGACTTAGTCATATTTATTTCAAGTTTCCATGCTTTACAATAGTTAGAAAAATCATTTAGTGTTGATTGAAATGATATTTTGTCCTCGCTAACAATAATGGTGTCATCTGCATATAACAATACAAAAAGTTTAAATACACATCAAATTCATTACTCTGGTAATGCAACCTTGGGGTTGATTTGCTCTAGATAACTTTCAAGATCGTTTGAAAATATAGGACACAAAATCGGAGAAAGGTTTATTCTCTTTATTACGAGAAGAAAGGCGAAATAACATTAGTAGAGGACACACGTGATTTAAATCTGCGTACATGTTACGTATTACTTGAAATATTTTCTCACTTATATGTGTTTTAATAAGCTTAATACCATAAGTCCGCCAAACTTTATCAAAAACAGACGAAATGTCATTTACGATACAAAAAGATTTTTCTTCTGTTAACCTAATTCAAAAATCAAAACTTTACTAGTAAATACATGGTCTGATGTTGAGTATACTTTGCTCTGATTCCAGCTTGATTTTCAAGCAAAATGTTCTAAACGTTTAAAAAATTCGTAATTCTATTATTTAAAACAGAGGTAAAACGTTTTCCAGGACAACTTAGTATTGTTAAAGGCCGATAGTTTCCGGGTTTTAATGGGGGAATCTTTCTTAAAAATGGGTTTTATTGTGCCGATAAGCCATGTTTCTGGAATGAGACAAGTGTCAAGGATAATATTGAAAACAATACAATAAATGTGGGTTATGTGACTTTTGGATCTTTTAATATACTCATTATCAATAAAATCATATGGTGAGGCAGGTTTTCCAGAGTTTAGGATTTAAGTTGCTTTATTTATTTAACTTTCAGTAACATTTAGTAATTCATTTGAATAATCTGTATCAAAATTCATTTCTGGTAAATTAGGCTGTTCAGTTTCTAGATGGGTGTTCAATTATTTTGAAATGTTCATAAAATGTATTATTTTCGAGCAATAAACGAGACGACTACTGTTTTACACGAATAATCTCTCGGTTTATTCCTGCTTATTTCACACAATTGTCGTTCATAACTAAATTTATGCTTATTGGTATTCACTGTTCACTTGTAAAACCTTGCTCTTGTAAGTTCTTGTTTATACAAGTCATTTTTATGTAAATAATATTTCTTGCGGCTGAATTGTGCTTCGCAGTGAGGCCCAAATCAGGGTATGTTTATTAAAGAATTGTTTGAGTGTAATAAATTGCTATTTTTGGATGGAATATGGAAATGTATCAAAAGCAGCCTCATTAAAGACACTTGATATTTTCTGAGCAATACTATTGATTGCTTTGTGGGTCACATTGCTTGTATTGTCCAACAACATTGACCTGGCACTCTAACATGTCTTACATTTGACCATGTAGTCGGTATATTCCGTTAACGTTACTAACTTCCTGTAAATCGATATGAATGTAAATATCGAATTGTTAAAATGGTGTGAATTAAAAGTCCATCTAAGCGCAGTTGGTAAATTGTTTTAACTTCACTTGAAAAATGCAGACGCAGGTTTAGTTGACTTGAAAAAATTTCATATTTTGTTTAAAGGAAGAGTAACTGATGTTTTTAAACAAAAATGGGAACGTAAGTTATGTACCAGTGAAGTATCGTATGGATATATTAAAAATATTTTTGAATTTTAATCTTATATAG